TATAAAGAAAAATACAGCCACCAGGCTGAAAATACAAACCAGCCATTGTCATTTACGAATATTGTGGATCATATATTCAACCTATTTTTGAACATGACGGGAATATTTCAAATTTCGTTGAAGTATCCCTTTAAAGACTGTTGCACAAATCACCAAGAGCCCTTTTCAAGCCAAAATTCATTCAGCTCTTTAGCTCGGAGCCGTAATGAAGTGAAATCTTACAATAAACTAAGCTTTTTGTTAAGAAAATTGTTTTTGCTAAGCTTTATATTGCATCAGATAGGCATACCATTTAACTAAATATTGATTTGTAATTTTTTTCTTTTTACCTCGCAGAAAATGGCTTTTGGATAAGAGCCAGAAAATATTGATTACATCTTTATGCAAACTGGTATTAGCAGAAGGACAAAGGGAGGAACATATCTTTGTTAGCATCAGACAGCAGTGCCAAATCGTGTTATCGCCCAAAGCCTGTCAGGGTCGGTGCTGCCAAGGCAGTCTCAACTAGAGCTCCTTTAAGGCTAAAAAGTTAAAAGGCGCGAACAAACAGGATGAAACAAAAAAAAGAGGCACGTACGACACGGACAGGTGCCAACTTCCTTTTAATCGATATGAACCAACTAGCCCCAACCAAAGTTTTATTGCATCACACTCCTTTAAGACTCTCCTGCTTCTCTGTGGGCTGTCTTAGAGGCTGGTTCACACACTTGCATTTGCTTACGACCAGGCTCTGATCTCTTATGTCGATAGAACACGCTGGCTTGCCGGCACCATCTATGAGCTGGGCCTGGAACTGCATTTTACTAGAGTGAAAGTTTTGCAGTATTTGCAAGGTCAGATGTGTCTATGAGAAATGGGTGTTTATAACATTGTTGAAAGTAATTCAGCCTGGCCTTTGCCAGGATTTCCACGAGAGTGCACCATGTGGCATCTCTCCAGCTGACGTGCTCTTGGGATATGTGGAGGTGCACACAGCCTTTTACACTATGAAGTTGTATTTTTTATTCATCCTGACACCCGACTGATATGCTTGTACCACCAAGCATTTAGGGGGCTGGAGGGTTTTGGCCCGGCGCTGTATAGATGTTTGGTGACCCTAGGCTGGGATCATGAGAATTTTGGAGATAGAGGAGTTTCATATGTTATTCTCGATTATGATGAATGTGAATGACATGCAAGTTACTGCCCATGGCATGAGGTGATTGGATGTATAGGAGGTCATTAAAAACTGAGGATTGGTGTGTAGTTCACTTTGCATGTGAGCTCCTTAATTTTGTTGCTTCATCGGATGTGTGTCAAAACATGGGACATAAATACGGGATCAGAAAATGCTATACTACACTGTATGTGTTTTGTACCATCGCTTCTTTGGTATTTGGAGTTAGGCCTACCTTGTGTCACCCAAAAAGTATAGTGACTGCATCTCAATACACCAGACAACACTCCTAGCTGAGACCCATTAATGAAAATTTGAACAAAAGCTTATTAACCGTTTGTTTTCGGGGAAAATATGGAACCGAATAATAAATGGAAGAGAAAAGTTAACTTGGAGCGAAGCTGGGTTGCGGCAATGGGAAATGAAGGTGCCTTCATCTAAAAGAAAACTATTATTTGCGCCCCTATCTTTGTGTTCAGGCAAAAGTTTTCAAGACACTGGAGAATGACCCCCTGTTTGCGCGCCAACCGTACGACAACATTACCCTGGAGGAGCATCGCCACCTGTGCTTCCGGAGAATGAAGCGTGTCTTCGAGTACCAGTTCTACACCCAGGAAGAGTTCTTTCAGAATCCTTTCCTGTCGTCCGCCTGCAACAATTGTATCGGTGCCTACGACTGGTCCTTGGCTGTCAAGAAAGTTCTTTGTTTCGATGTGTGTATTTCTTGATTTTATTTCTTGTTGTCAGTTTTGTTAATTTAACTCCCTGTATGGGTGTTAATTTAACTCCCTGTATTCTGCGACAACTATACTTCATCACGCAAGGGTGCTCAGGTTTAGGGCTGTCTTTCGGAACGTTCTAACTTTTGTCACAATTCGACAAAGCTCCACTTCTTAAAGCATCGTAGCCCGACTTGTATAAAAAATCAGAGTCTTTTTTACATTATTTATAAAATCAGCTTGTTTTAAATTTTAAAGAACATTTACCAATATTCACACAATGTAAAAGCAAACATGTAACCTTATAATAATTCAGTTTGTTTGTTTAAATACTGCATCCTTTCTCTGCCTTGCAGTGCCTAGTCAGTTTTAGTTTATGCACATGCAGTTAATGATCAAATTTCTGTCAAACTTTGGTCCAGTTCAATGTTAAAAAAAAGTTGTGCCTGGTCAGATTTGAACCTTGGCAGGTTTATCACATTCCTACACAGATTTGTAAAAATCATAAACAGCAAACGAAAGAAGGCCTTTTTGTTCGGTTGAGGGGGTTATAATAAACCCCAACAGGCACAAAAGCGATGTTTGTGGTGCACGATGGAAGGTCGTGGATGGTGACATGCTCGGCTTTCCCAATTGCTGCAGACTACATTTGAAACATGCTGGCGATGGTTGAACATAGTGACAGTGACCCTGACTGTAGGATGAACAGAAGAGATGAAATGTGTGAAAGAATGGGTGCAGTACATTAGATACAAAGTACTGAGCAAGCAGCTATCCAAAATTTGGAGACAATCTTGAAAATCTGGGGATGTTAGGTCTGAGAATGAATAGCTTCACTGGTGTACACGTGTAAAGCCTCATTGTTCTGTGTTCATGCTCAAGCTTCATCACTTTGCACTGGTGTGCTTGGAGAAATGGCTGATCTGGAGGAGCATTCTGGTTAGCTAGGTGGGCTCAGAAATCTGGTGTGGGACATGGTACGGCCTCTGCTAATGTTTAAAAAAATTTCAGAAATAGTGAGTGGGTGTTTGTTGTGACATGGGTGTATGTTTGGTACTTTGTGCTAGTCTTTTGAGAGAAGCAGTATGTCAAACTTTTTTATCGTAGTAAATATGAATGTATGTGCAAGAGCAGACTTCAGATTTTGCTAAGAGTAATTCACATGGCAGCTGCAGAGGCAAGACCGTTTAATATACATAATTCACTCAAAAGTTGATTTGAGATCAAAGAGCAAAACCAAGTTTATTTTTGTAGATTTGGGCACTGTGTTTGTCATTAAGCGGTTTATGCAGATCCAGATTAATGTTTATGTAACACAACTTGCTTCACTATAAGGAAATGTTGCACTTTAATTATATGCTTAATCAGGCTAAACTGAGTGAATATTTTCTCCAGTGCATCATTTTCTCCACAGATGTTTATAGGAGCAGTGAGGGGGCTTGGAACAAAGCGCCACATGCAAATCTTTGAAGAAATGCTCAAGTTCGAGGTGAGGACAACCCAACCTAATGCATTTTACTAGCAAACTTTTATAAACATAATGCAGCCTGTTTTTAATGGAGATTGGCACCAAGTGGAATAGAAAGCTTAACATTATTATTAATATGGAAGCTTGCCTTTTTTTTTTACTGATGTCCTATATGTTTAGTGTTTAACATTTTTTTCTGTTGTAGTGTCCAACAGGTATTTTTACGTATCTATCTGGTTTTCAAGTAATTTGGTAAAGTATCTTGACATGCTCTCCACTTTTAAATTTTTTACAGGTTATGAGCTCAACTCCAAGTTTATTGGTTTCTTTATTTGGAACTGCTAGAATACCTGTGAAATATAACCGTATTTTGTATTTTTCGAGCTTTTCGTTGTAACAACAATGCCAGTGTGCGGCTCTGAAGGTCATGGGTGGCTCACCGTAGAAGAAGCACTATCCCACAAAGGCAACGTGCGGATCGCCAGCACGAACGGCTAGAAAACGTGCATGTCCGTGGAAGAAAGAAGCCTCGATATCCTACTGACTGTTTTATCCTTTTTTCAAAAGTTAACAAAAGCTTCAAAGAGAATTTCAAGCAGCGCGTTGTTGCGCATCCACTTCCGGATATTCGGCATTTACAATATTGTTTTTCTAGGTTTTAGGCAGACATTAAGTTTTCAACTTTTTCCTGTTCTTCAAGTTCATAAAGTTTTCAGTTAGGCTTTCGTTGCCTAGAGAGCAGGCCACAAAAAACACTCGCCCGCAATTATTATTTTGGGACCAGTATACCCAATAAGCTTAACGAATATTACAAAAAATTAGATTTTCTTTTTAACAAAGCTGGCGAATTTTAATGATAAATTGATATATGTTACGCATGATCCGCCAACAGCCTTTATATAAATAGAAGAAAAAAAATTGGTGAGCCTCTCTCCTCATACGCTCAATGGCCGGTGAGCTTTTCTCCGCATCCGCCGGTTTTGCGGTGAGCTTTTCTCCGGTGAGCTTTTCTCCGGTGAGCTTTTCTCCGGGATTCGCCGGTGAAAAGGGCCCACTAGAGGCACTAGAGGATGTAGGTGTTCTCGTCAGCCATGAGCAAGCAATCAGTGAGCCCCATTTTTGCTTCCTCACACAGAGCAAGAAGATCTATAGATCATGCTGACTCAAGTTGAGTCAGTGGTTTCATCGCCTAATGGACTTAAGCTGAGCTGGTTGGTTCATTTTATGTTGTGAATGGGAACAGTTCCAGTAAGCAACACACCTGTACATGTGCTATATCGACTTTTTCCTTACTTGCATTTCTGCATATGTTCTTACTGGCAACCACCCCAACGAACGCAAATCAAATAAAATGCATGTGACAAGGCAATCACCGGGGCTTCAGACCGACTCCCGTGGTCCTTCTGCAAAGTATAGTACAAAAAAAAAAACAAAAAAAAAAACGCGAAAAAAGAACGCCGAATAAACAATGAGCGCGAGGCTGACGTCCGATTCGAATTCCGATTGGGTCACCTTGATTGGATTTTTTTTTCGCCACGTTTCATCGACTGCAAGTCGAGAGTCGCCTCTCCCGCAAAGTGGCCACAGCGGTTAGAAACTCGCGAACGAGTGTCGTCCCATAGGGAGGTCAACGAGCTTGAGATACGAGAACGCTTACCTCTTCGACGAGGGACTGAAACACTTTCTTGGTGAGCTCTTTGCAGCCGAGGATGTTTCCCGTGTTCAACACCACTTCGCTGACCGAGGCGGGCAGGAGCGCCGGCTTGTTCATCTTCACGCCAAACGCACGGCGCTTCTTTGAAGTCGGGAAAGAATACCAGACGCGAGTTCGGGGATTTCGCGCTGCCTCGATCCTGCTGCCTTAGCAACGCCACGCTCGACACAGACACACAGACGCTATGCAGACGCTGACTCCTCTGACTACGTTGACACAACTATAATTGAATCACGTGCTCGGCATCACGTGGATTGCCCTTTTCTGCCTTTTCCTTCTTTTCATATGTGTGTGCGTGCGTGTGTGTGGATTGGCAGAGTGGTTACGTATCGCTATTGAGGTTTTGGAACTCGTCTGTCACCGCTGCAGCCTGCAACCAAACACAACAGACTTTCTGTAAAAATATGTATATTTGCCATTATCTCTAAAGGACCTTTGCGCTGGCTGTAATCACCAGACCACCGTAATTTACCTACAGAAGTCCTGCGTAGAAACGTCACGCAGCAAGGTCCGCGAATCAGCTGTGGCACCTTTTTTGTTTGTTTTTGTTTTTCATTGTGCAATAAACACTTTGGCCGCTAGGCGTCCTGATGTTCCTCGACGAGCAACATTTTTTTTGTAATAAATCAGTGTCTTTCCAACCGATAAGCACTTCTAATATAAACCCGTTTTTAAAAATACGGTTAATACAAAAACAAAAAGGCCTAATATCCGCTGTGCCGCAGATTCCAAAACCCGGCCCTTCGTGGTCAGTCGCTGGTCGGCCATATTAGGTGTCCTCCTCTGTTTCGAAGATACTGTTAAATCCCGCTATCTGAATTTATCCGGATTTTTCCAATCTGCGGGGGTTGCAGCACTCGATAGCGTGAAGCAAGGTAAGGTGCGCCTTTTCTTAAACGACTGCCAGTCGTCTCGCTCGGCCGCGTATTGAACGCCAACGGCAAACCATTACGAGCTGCGCACATCAGACCATCGAGCATTTGACTCATTCACTCGTCGCTAAAACAAAAATTCACGTTATTGCGGTTTTTGACCTGCTGGATTACCTTAACCTTCCGTTCCGATTCACGTACAGGTAATCGTTGGTGTGTTTCGAATGAGGTTCGTTATATAATCGCTTTTCTGTGCCGTCTGGTTTCTCGAAGTCGACTCGTTGACTCGCGTGTAGTGAGTGGGGTGGAGGCGACGTGCAGTATGCGTCGACTGTGTGCCTGGGTAGTGCCTACGTTGCTTCCTTCGATGGCGTTCTCGAGAACCCTGCGAACCTCGAATCGTTATACATGACGTTCAGAATCCCGAGAACCAAACACTGCCGCTCAATTTGGCCGATAGCGAATGACTGAGCGGCTATCCTTTATTCTTTTTTTTTTTTTTTTCCATCTTTGCCCGCATAGATGTTACGCCCACCTACCCTACTGATACAAGTGGCGACAAAGAAATCGGGCTGTCTACGATTCGCCGTACCTGCTGCCACTAGGGCTCTTAGTGACCGAGTTGTTAGGTTTGGTCGATTCCGGTTCTCGCAGTCTCCGAGGGCCGAAATCAAACACTACTGTCGGCCACCCCGAATCTCGTGGAGCACATTTGGCGACGGAAGCCAACAGTTCGTGCTGGGATTCTCATATCACGATCCAAATGGCGAATCAGTCGAGTCGGAACTTCGTTCTCGCTCACTGATTGCCCGTCCATCGATAAACGAACGACGAACTCGCAATGAAGAACTATCAAACCAGGAAGAGTAGTAGGCGCATTTGAGTCCTATACCACCTGATTCCATTTACGTAGGGTGCCTTCATGGCGAACACGAGGGTACTCTACATTTACGAATGTAGCCCATATGCTGTAGCAAGCTCCACACTTCCCTTCACCGGGTGTACACCTTTTGTACCTGTGAAGACAGTTAAAATAATTGGGTAAGTCTAACGGCAGTATCTCGGAAGCACTACATCCATGAATTAATAGCAAAACACTGGAAATGTATGCAAAAAGGTGACACGTAACCTTCACTTTTTTTTTTGTCTGGTATTTTAATATTATGGGGAAAAAAAACAAGAAAAAAACATCAACAGTCACATTGCGTGGAATCTGATCCTATTTTAATTTGTATGAAATGTTTCTGTTTTTCTAGCTTGTCTGTGGTTTGGGGGAAGGCAGGCTGATTTGAACCTACATTCCTCCATACCCTTAGCGCAAACTGCTGTGTTCACTTTACTGCTAATTCATAAATATGTTAACTCGGCGTGCAGCTGGCACTCTAAGGAGAATGTTGAGAAGTGATTTTCGAATTTTAGACCTTTGCAGATCTCTCACGCTGGAGATCAGAAGCTGAGGTAGCTCTTAGTACCAGTGACTGTCTCGTGGTCCCTAGCAGGCAAATCTTGTTTATCAGATGTCACATAGGTGTCCAGACACTTCCTTCAACTTATTTGCCCAAGCAGTCTTG